TGATTGCCTTAAATACACTGAGCACTTGATAATGGTGGACTTTTTATTAAACTACTTAATTTCAGTGTTTAAAGGATGGTGTCAATATTGGTACAATATGCATCAAAATGATTAATAAAATATACATATTATGTGTTTGCATGTACGGTCAAAAATAAAATAATTTAATTAAAGAAAATTACACTAGTCATTACACATGTTAAATGGTCAGTAAACAAGGCACATTGTGTGTCTCTGAAGCCGGCGTCCCATGATGCGGAAATCCACAGTGTAACGGAACAAATCACAGTGAAAGAACGAAAAAAATGGACAAGTTTTCTGTTGGTTTTTCTGCTGTGATTAGTTCACGCGTTACGTTACGCTGGGAATTTCCGCGTTATAAGACACTTGACTGTACATATGACACCTTGCCTTACAATATACCGGGATATATAATATAATTTATTAATAATAGAAAATTTAATATTTATTTAAGAAAATAAAAATTATTTAATAAAAAAATGCTTTAATGACGATTTGACGAAAGATACGAATTCAGACTGCGTTCCGATGTTCACTGTCAGTATTGAAAATATATAGTTCAGGTCACGTATATTATAAATTTTCAGTATTGGCAGTGAATATTGGAACGAGTCTGAATTCGTATCTTTCATCAAATCGTCATTAAAGCATTTTTTTTACTAAATAATTTTTATTTTCTTAAATAAACATTAAATTTTCTATTATTAATAAATTTTCTATTATTTTCTATTATGTATTATATATATAAGAGACGGAAAAAATAATGGAACCAATCGGAATTCGAACTCCTTGAAGATCCTTCGTTTATGAATCGCGATATTGGATGCAGTCCATTTAATACTACAAATACTTTTGCTTTTATTTCCGTAAAATGATCCATTAGCACTACTAATGTTGCCACATGCAAGTGGACTGGTTTCAAGCGTTAAAATAGTCGGAATTGTTTACAAACATATATTCTGCAATCATGAATTCTGATAAAAGTTATATTAACTTATGTTGTTAAGATTTTTTTAGAATCACTATCTTATATTTATAACGAAAACATTTCAGAACAAGTAATTGCACATATCTCAAAAAATAAATAATTTATTTTTTTTAACTTCCCTAACACAAGGACGTTCTCAGAACGTCCTGTTAGATGAGCCGGATATCCTGAAGACCTATTATGATCCTGAAATGTAAACAGGACATCCTGTGGACTAGCAAATGAGCGCCTCATTACGTTCTCGAGACGTTTCTCAGGACGTCTCAGGTTTCTCCACTCAGCCTCAGACTATCCTGAGGATTTTCTTAAGACGACTTTAGGATGACTTCAGAATGACTTTAGGATGACATCCTGAAAACGATCGCGTTCTGATATTGACTGCTAGTACTGAAAATCTACAATATACGTGACACCCCTTACGAAAAATAAGTGGAAAAAAATATAAAAAAATATAAAAAAATGAGAGAAATTGATGAAACATCTCTTATCATCGCATGTTTCTAAAACCGGTCACCCATCCACTTGGAGATCCTGCTCGATGTCGCTTACCTCTGTATTGAGATAAAACCTACTACTAAAATAAAGAAATAAGTGATTACAGGATTTCAGCTTAAAATATGATAAATCTAGTTAATGAATGTTATTACCCTAATAGCACTCGTCTATTCTGAGAACGTTCCATGGGATATCATACAAGTATATTCGAAATATTCTCCGAACATTCAAAATACGTACTGCGATATACTGTGGAATGTACTTAGATCGTTACTACCACTCACTAACCTAATCCCTAGTATGTACTGGAGAATATCCCGTAGTATGGCCACAGGATGAAAATAGTTTAAGAACAGTATCATGGGCATGCATAAGAGTATCCCAGACCATATAGATCGTGAAAATTTATAATATACGTGACATCTCTTACGGAAAATAAAGTAAAAAAAATGAAAAAAACAGAGAAAGTAATGAAACATTTTTTATCTTGTATCATTGCATATTTTTAAAACGGTTATCCTACTTGGGATTCTGCTCGATGCTGTTTAACTTCTATAATGGGATGAAACCTGCAACTGAAATGATGATATAAGTGAACACGGAATTTTAACATAAAATATGATAGATCCGATTAATGAATGTTACTATATTATCATATAAATAGTCTTAATTTTAAAATCTCGATTGCATATGTAATTCTTGTAGATAATTTAATTACATATATAGAGTCGTGAACCTATATTATGTTATGAGAATCATTTTCCTTATGAAAATTGTTGTATATATTTTGCTTATTTGTTTATGAATGTTAATAATTGTATTAAATATGGGAAATATTTTTCTTATTTATATATTATAGTTAATTAAGAAAGATTAATTAATGTTTCATTATTTTTGTTAATTAAAAAATGTCGAAAAAATAGTAGATTAAATAATAATATATTTATGCCGATAATATTTTGTGTACAAATGTTACATTATTTTACGTTCATTATTTAGTACACTGACAACGAATGATGAAAAATGGCCTTAAATCATCGTAATGATAACATCTTGCTACTTGAGTCAGAATATGTCATTATTAAAATACATTTCAGGACTGTATCAGGAACAATATCATTATCACACTTATTTATTACAATTATTTATTAAAAATGCGTTACACGTAAATGAATCAAATTTTATTATAACTCGTTACCCAAATAGCAAAATGCCAGCAGTATGCTAGCACTGTGCCAGCAGATCCGATCATGACTTCACAACAAATTTCAAGCTGCTGCTTCCCAATTAAGTTTAGTTTTTTGCGGTACATCTTCTCATCATAGAATAATGACAAAAATATATATATATAAAAATCGAGCGATAAAAATCGAGCATTGCTTGCTGTCCCATTGTGTCAGCAGATATGTAGCAGCTATCGTGCAAAGTTTGCCATATCAGATACTGGCAGCAGAAACGCAGCAAAAATCGAACACGACGTGACGACAAAATTGCGGCAAGTATATGGCGTGATCTGCTTTATCAGGTGTGACAGAGACGCAGCAGAAATCGAATACACCCTGTTAACATAACTTGTTGGCAAATTAACAACAGAAATCGAGCAAATTCTGTTTCATAAATATTTAAATTGTTATTACTAAAAAATTTTGAAAAATGTCTCTATTATTTTTTCTCTATTATCTCTATATTCTCTATTATCTCTTATTTTAGAAAAATAATTTTTAATTATTTTACTAATGATGAAATTAATATATTTTTTACAGCACAAATAAGTTATGAAAAGTTTCTTAAAAATATAAGTTATGATTCTTTTGATTCTTATATAACGTATCAAATAATATATCAAACATTTTGTATAATGTACTATTTTGTACATTTTATATAATGTACTATTTCCGAGGTATTACACTTCGTTAACTACCTTGTTGGACAATTACGTCTTCCATCAAGCGCAGACATAAAAATACGTAAATAATAAATGAATGTTAAATGTTGAATATGATTTTGCTTATATAGAAAGTTTGATAAATTTTGCATGCAAGAAACGGACGCAACCTAGCGGTAGTTTTCTAATTATTGTGTTTAGGGCCTCTTTCACCAATCTTCAGTTAAGCTAACCGACGGTTAACTCGATCATCATCGATTGTCAACGACTGAGAATTAAACTGTTTATTATAGATAAGTGTTCTTATAATCTTTATTTGTATTTTATACTTTTGTATTTACACTTGTTTGTAATTACAATTTCATCTACCAAGATACCTACAACATAAAAAGAATATTAGGTTAAAGAACACTTAGGGTGCGATCCATTAATGCTACTAATGTTGCCAACACTATGCAAATGGATGGTTTGAAGCGTTAAAATAGTCGGAATTGTGTTTACAAACATATATTCTGCGATCATGAATTTTGATGAGATAAAAGTTATATTACCTTATGTTATTAAGACTTTTTTAGAACCACTATCTTATATTTATGAAGACAACGAAAATTTCAGAACAAGTAATTGCACATATCCCAAAAAATAAAAAACATTTATTTTTTAACTTATTTAAAATAAAATTACATGTAAATCATTATAGATTATTATAACATTACTTTAGTTAGTCTTAACAGCCTCCTCTTCAGAAACTTCTATGTAATAAATTATTCCTTTATTATATCTTTTTCCTTTATTATATTTTCTTCCTAATTTTATGATTTATCTCTAAATATTTGATGCAATACACAATAAAAATAATTTTGAAAAATTAGTACAATAACAGAAACGAAACATGCATTACACGTAAAAATAATTAAATCGCCACACACTACTTACCATGATATATGCTTTTGTCCGTTAAGCTTTCCCGCGTTTTGTACATTCAAACTGTACACTTCATTTCCAACTCGCTCCTAATGCTACTGCTTGGAGAGGTTTAATATCTATAATATATTACATGAACTATATATTTTCAGTATTGGCAGTGAATATCGGAATGCAGCTACTACTTCTCCAAGCAGTAGCATTGGGAGCGAATTGAAAGTGAAAATCTATGACGTATTAATGACGTCATATGTGCTATTGAAACGCTTCGAAGTGCTAAGTGGACCGCACCCTAAGATTCCACCAACGTCATTCCAGTTCTTCGCTTAGTTAAGGTGCGTTTAGAGTAAGTGTTACTTAAAATTTGCTAGCATTGCACGAATGCCACGAAAATATAACTTGGTTAAGTGGAACTTTTGATAGTAATTTTTCATGTTTCAATATTGGATAATTTAACATAACTTGTAATATAGTCATAAATACCAGGACGCAAGAAAAAACCAAATATTTATTTTTAATCTAATAATTAAGCTAATAATAAGCTAATATTAAGTTAATAATTTAAGCTAATAATTAAATTATTATATTAAGAAATTGCGAAAAATTGATGTGTCTAAGAAAATGGTGAAAAAAAGAATGGTGAAAATAGAAAATTTTCGATGAAGAAAGATGGAGAAAAAAAGAGGAATTTCTTTGATCTATAATAATAATAAAAACGTAAGATTGTAACGTTACAATACAAACATTGATTATAATTAATTTAATATAAATTTAGTTGTGTCATATCTCTATTTTTATTAATTATAGATGACTGAGGAAATTGAAGAGAAAAAGAGAGTACGTAGCACAAATTACACAGCAGAGGAAAAGCTGTTCTCATAAATATTATTAGCAAATAAAAATATCATTGAATCCAAAAAAACAGATAAAATATCGTGGAAGGACAAAAATAATACTTGGGAGACTATCACAAATGAATTACTGGATTATTTTTAAAAAATTACAAAATTACTCGTTTTTTGCCACAATTAATTATTGTAATTGACATACACTATAACTATTATATATTGTAATTTGTAATACAATTTTGTAATAAAGTGTGCATGAGATTTTACAAATATTTTAAAATAATAAATGTTAAAAAATAATAATAAGAATATGATATTTTTATCTGTTATGTGCATAATTTAGACGATCTTCAATCTGTTCTAGTATATGTAGTAACAAAATATTTCTGTAATCGAAATCTTCGAAAAAAATTTAAATCGTTATATTTTTCAAAATAATTAGCGCATGTATATTTCGTGGCATGCCGTAAATAACTAGATCAAATGCATCTAATTCATTATCGTCTTTTAATACATCGAAATGTAAATCTATTTTTCTGATTAACCTCCAATATATAATTTATACAATACGCGCGAATAATGGTGACAACCAATGGTAACAGATTTCTGTTCCTTAATATTTCTTAAGCGGTACTGAAACTATCGT